ACAGGGTCCTTCCTTGTCTCTTGTTATAGCCTTTGTTTTAAAGTCTGTCTGTCTGGTATAAGTATGGCTTTCCCAGCTTTTTGTTTTGTTTTGTTTTCATTTTCATGAAGTATCTTTTTCCATCCTTTTAAGTCTCTGTGTGTCTTTCAATCTGAAGTGAGTCTCTTATAGGCAGCATATATAAAGGTCTTGTTTTCTTATCTATTCAGCCACCCTGTCTTTTGATTGAAGCACCTAATCCATTTACATTCGAAGTAATTATTGATAGATGTGTAGTTGTTGCTATTTTATTCATATTTTTGATCTTTTTTCTTTTTTTTCTTCTTCTTAAAGAAGTCTCTCCAACATTTTCTGTAATTTTGACTTGGCAGTGATAAATTCTTTTAGCTTGTTCTTATTTGGGAAGCTCTTTATCTGTTCTTTGATTCTAAATGATAGTTTTGCTAGGTAGACTAATCTTGGTTGTAGTTTCTTACTTTGCATCATTTGAATATTTCATGCCAAGCCTTTCTGGCCTGCAGAGTTTCTGTTGAGAAGTCAGTTGCCAGTCTTCTGGGCGCTCTCTTGTAGGTAACTGCTTTCCTCATGTTGCTTTTAAGATTCCCTCTTTGCCTTTAACCTCTGGCCTTTTAATTATGGTATGTCTTGGTGTGGTTCTCTTTGGGTTTATCTTGTTTGGGACTCTTTGTGCTTCCTGGGCTTGTATGTGTATTTCCTTCACTAGGTTAGAGAAGTTTTCCATCATTATTTCTTCAAGTAAGTTTTCGATTTCCCTCTTTTCCTTCTGGTACCCATATGATACGAGTATTCATATGCTTGATATTGTCTCAGAGGCTCCTTAAGCTATCCAAAACTTTTTTCATTCTTTTTTCTTTTTGAGATTCTGAAAGGGTGTTTTCTGCTACCTTATCTTCTAAATTGCTGATTCAGTCCTCTGCTTCATCTAGTCTACCGTTGATTACCTCTAGTACATTCTGTGTTTTAGTTATCATATTCTTCATTTCTTACTTGTCCTTTTTTATGTTTCCTGTCTCGTTGTTGAAGTTCCCACTGAGATCATTGAGCATCCTTATAACCAATGTTTTTTACTTTGTATCTGGTAGATTGCTTATTTCTATTTTGTTTAATTCTTTTTTCTAAAAGGAGCTTTGTTCCGGTCTTTTGGGACATGTTTCTTTGTCTCCCTGTTTCAGCTGCTTCCCCGTGTTTGTTTCTGTCTATTAGGTAGAGCTGCTATGTCTCCTGATCTTAGCAGAGTGGCCTTGTGTAATAGGGTCCTGTGAGACCCAGTGGCGCAATCTCCCTGGTTGCCTGAGCCGAGTGTTCCAGGTGTGTTTCTTGTATGGGTTGGTTGTGTGTGCCTTCCTTTTGTAGATGAGCCTTAGTTGCTGTTTGTACCTCAGTTGGAGAGATTGACCCTCAGGCTGATTGGTTGGGAGGACTGGCGAATGACTATAGTGGAGGAGCTGTTGTCCAGGGACTGACTCTTCGGCTCAGGATTCTCTTTAGCAGGGATCTGGTGCCTGCCTTGTCTGCTCTTTGGGTGTGTTGTCTTTGGATGTGGCCCCAGGTGGTACCCTGGCTCAGTCTAAAGCTGGCCACAGGATGTGCTGTTCTAGGCTTCCTGAGAGGGAGTCTGCCACAGCAAGTTTCCTTGCTTGTCTGGGGGGACCTACACAGCCAAGAAATCCCTCTCAATTTTTAACTGCCACACATGGTTGTGGGATCAGCTCCTTCCACATCTCTGCCCTCCTTCCAGTCTTGAGGTGGCTTCTTCTATATTGTCCTTAGTTGTAAGACTTCTGTTCATCTAGACTTCAGGTGATTTTCAATGATGGTTGTTCTATAATTTAGTTGTAATTTTGATATAGTTGTGATAGGAGACAAACATAGTGTTTACCTACCCAGCCATCTTGACTGGAAATCTAACCATTGATTATATTTTAGATTGTCATTTTCTGTCTTTTAAATCAGTGACCTTTTTAAAAATCATAAGTTTTCTAAAATTGCATTTTATATGACTTTCTGACTGCATTTTGAGTTATTTTTTAATTTCCAAATATTTGAGGGTTTTACAAATAACTTTGTTTTATTCATTTGTTTTAATTCTGTTGTGATCAGCACATACACTCTGTATGATTTCTGTTAATTTTATTAAAACTTGTTTTTATGGCCCAGAATGTAGTCATCTTTGATGAATATGTATATTTTGCTGTTTTTGAGAGGCCTGTCCTGCAAATGTCATTTAGGCAATTACTGAGAGAAATGTGTTGAAATCTCCGGTTTTTTAATTTGTCTACTTTTTTATACAGTTCTGCTTTCTTTTGATTTATGTATTTTGAAGGTATGTCTGTAGTACATACAAACCTACTTAACCCTTTTATCACAATGAAATGCCTCTCTTCATCCCTGGTAGTATTTCTTGTTCTGAAATCTACTTTGTACAATATTAACATAACTCTTTTTTAAATTAGATTTACAAGGTATATTTTTTACATCCTTTACACCTATTTTTTAATATTTAAAGTGGGTTGGGTCTTGATTTTTTAAAATATTATCTGATAACCTCTCTAATTGATATGCTTAGAATTTTGACATTTAATATAATTGTTTATTGTTTGAGTTTGGCTTTCATCTTGTTTGTTTTCTAATTGTTCCACATATTTCTTGTTCCTTTCTTTTTTCCTAACTTCTTTTGGATTGAATATTTCTTATGATTTCATTTCTTCTCCACTATTACATTTATTAACTCTAGTTTTTTTGTTTTATGGCTTTAGTTCTAAAGTTTAGTTTACGTTTTTTACTTATCACAGCTCCCTTCAATTAATATTATACCACTTCACACACAGAATAAGAATTTTATAGCAGTATATTTCCATTTCACCCCTCCTGTTCTTTGTTCTGTTGTTGTCATATTGTTTTATGTATATTTCGAACCCCCAAAATATTGTTAGTATTTTTTCTCTTAAACAGTTAATTTTTAAATCTCTTCTTAGGAGATATTGAGAAAGAATGCTTCTTTTTTTTTTAAAGTCTTTCCATGTATTTACAACTCCAGGCTCTCTTCACATTTTTTTGTCTAGTTCCACAAAGGTTTCTATCTGGTACCACATTTTTTTTAGCTTGAAGAATTTTCTTTAAATATTTTTATAGTGCAAGTATGCTGGTGAGAAATTCTCAGCTTTTAATCTGAAAAGCCTTTATTTTGCCTAAATTTTTAAAAGATGTCTGAATTTTGTTTCTAGGTTGACAGTTTTTCCACTTTCTTTCGTCATTTCAGTAATGTTATTTTTGTTTTCTGTTGTGCATCATTTCTGATGAGAAGTCTGCTTTCATCTTTGTTTCTTTATATGAAGTATGTTTTTCTACCTTCTGCTTTTAAGATTTTTCCTTTTAACATTGTTTTTAAAATATATCTTTTAGTAGTTTGATTATAATGTGCCTTTGGTATGGTTTTTTAAATCTCTTCTGCTTGGGGTTTGTTGAAATTCTTAGATCTTTGGGTTTATAGTTTTCTTCAAATATAGAAAAATTTTTGGCTGTTATTTCCGTAAATATTTTTCTGTTCCATTTCTCCCACTTCTCTCCTCTGTTCTGGGATTCCAGTTACACCTGCTTAAGGTTGCTTGATATTGTTCCAAAGATCATTAACGCCTTTTCCAGTTATTTCAGTTCTTTTCTTCTCTTTGATTCTCAATTTCCTTGGCCCCTCCTAAAAGACTTAGGAAATGAATCTCAGTTTTGTCAGCCAGGAAAACAAAAGTAGAGAAACATTTTTTCCTACACTTCTAGGCTCTGCATACATGAACACGAAATAATTCCCACTGGAGTCTCATGTACAGTGGCCTTAGACAATGCTGGTGAAAATCTGCATAGAATTGGTCTCCATAGCGATGGCTGGAATAAGAGGTGGGGTTGAGGAGAGGGTGGGGTGATTGAATGTACTATACTAGCATCCTATTATTTTTTTTCCCTGTTTCTTATTTTTTTTTCTACTTTATTTTTTTGGATTTCATTAAACTTCACTATCAACTTCTTGCTCACAGACATATTTAGATGTTTCTTTACTTTAAAGCATTGTTGTTTGGAACACTTAATTGTATTCTTTTTGGTGAGGCAACCCTTGGTTGACCTCACAGATTGCAAGGACCTTGTCAGCTTACAATCCTTTATTTATTTATTTATTTTTATGCTTACAGCACCAGGTCTTCTTAGGTGGTCTCCCATCCAAGTACTAACCAGGCTTGACCCTGCTTAGCTTCCGAGATCAGACGGGATCGGGCTTGTTCAGGGTAGCATGGCTGTAGACCTGGAGCATTTAATTATTTAAGGCACCTCATTCTATGACAGAATCAAATGAATAAAGCAACAATGAATTAGATATTCCAGGGCCGAGGTTCTAGAAATTACTTTTTGTGTTACTGTCAAATAGGAGCCTGGGTATAATGTAAATACTTCATAAGTACTTATGAAAGGAATTATAGGATGTGAATTCTGGATCATGTTGCTTGGACTCAAATTCCTACTTTTTACTTACTAGTTGTATGATATTTGATACCTTAATTTATCTTTTTGTGTCTTATTTTCCTATCTTAAAAATGAAGATAATGATAACTCTCAAAGAGTATTATGGCAGAATTCAATAAGTTACTAGATATAACATAGTTACTAGACATTTAGAACGATGCATATCCTCTTTAAGTGTTAACTAGTATTATTTTCATTGTCATATCTGATGATTAATGTTTAAAAAATAATTGCTTGAGCACAATATATGTGTATTAATGTGTGTGTATGGACATTCTAGTTTGTGTTTTTACTTTTTAGTAGTGTAAGAGTTTCTGAAGTAGTGAAGCTTAAAGTTAGTAGAATTGCACATCTATTTGATAATTCTATTTTAAAATATTTCTAATTTATGTATTTTCTTCCCTGGCATCCGAATTCATTTTATATATTGTTGCTATTTACTATATTATGATTCTTTCTGTTTTCTTATGCAGGACCAAAAGATCTCAGATTGCTATAAGTGAAGGTATATTTGAACTTCCAAATCTCACAATTCAATCTACAAGAGCCCAGACACTGCTCCTGCAAGCAATATATGAAAGTTGGTCTCATATTGGAAATGTCAGCTCTTCAGTAGTGAATGAAGCGTTGATGAATGAAGTTTTCCAAACTATAGGTAAGAGCACAATCTTCTTGACAAGTATATGGAAAATTTCTATTAATGGTGACTAATATTTTATGATTCAAATCCATATGGATAACATACTAAACTTAAATTTTGTAGTATATTTCTTGAAAGTGGGTATTTATAGTTCCTGTGTAAAATACAGGATATGAGTTAAGCCATTCAGTTTTATTCCCTGTAACCAATTTCTGGATATATTTTATATTTTCAAGAGATTATTTTTCGCCAAATCCTTGTACAGTTGACTCTGGCTGTACATGGGTAACTTTTGAGGGGATCAATGTGTATGTTTGAAATGATAATCTAGTCAAGAATAAAAATAGTAATATGTTTGATTATGCTGGTAAAGTGGAATAAAATTATTGATCATAATACTCTAAGAGTTGGTAAGTGAATTATCTGTTTTGTGTGAAAAAATCTTACCATGAGTGAACTACTAAAAATAAAAAATTTGCTCTGATGCCAGTATAGGAGATATCTTCATGTTGTTGTTCCCTTTACATGTAGACAAAAACCTTACAGAAATCTTGCTTTTTTTAGGTGTTTCAATTCAAAATAATTACTTTTATCAGTAACACAGGAGTAATTTTCAAAGAAGGATATATTTTTATTTACTAAGTGTAATAATGCTTAAAATTATAACAGTTTTTATCTTCTGCATTTTTCTATTAAAACTTTTTTTTTCCTTATGTGATGCTTTTGAAGATTTTAATTTCAGATCTTACTATGGGAAATATATTGTAAATTCTAAAAAATGCATTACAATTAGAGTCTTTTTATTTTGGCGAATGTAAAATTTGTAGTTGTTTGTGTCAGGTTGTAGAATTCTATAAAGAATGACAAGAGAAATGTTTTATTAGCCTAGAAGTTCTTGGGGCTTATTAGGAAAGGGCTTTGAATTCTCCAAATTCTGTCTGCAAATTTTAGTTTGTGTATAAACACTTACCCCACATATTTATATATATTTTTTGAATTGATTATTTTATTAATGTAGCGAATGATCCCTCAGACAGTCTTTTGATTTAAAATTATTTTTTCTTATATTCACACAATTACAATTAGTTTTCTTTTGGTTGATACTTGCCTGTACTCCTTTTGCATGCTTTTATTTAAAATTTGTCTGTTTTTATGCTTTAGGTATATATTTTAGAAATAGCATATAACTGAATATTTTAGATCATTTTATAATCTGCTCTTTGGTATTAAATTTAGTCTATTTATATTAGTGTGATTGTTCTTTTTTGACTTCTGTTATCTTACTGTTTTGTTTCCTTTTGTACTGTTATAGCTTGGCTACTTTAAAAAATGCTATTTTTCTCTTTCTAATTATTTGGAATTTGTATATTCCTATTGAATTATTAACTTAATAACTGATTCTGCTTTGGAAAACAATTTGGTATGTAGAGTTACTATATGACCCAGTAATTTTACTCCTAAATATATAACCAAGAATTGAAAACATATGTTTGCACAAAATCTTGTATGTGAATGTTCACAACATTATTCTTTTTTCTTTTTTTGTGTGTTTATTTTTAAAATAAATTTATATATTTAAGGTGTGCAACATGGAAGTTTTGATATGCATAGTGAAATGATTACTGTAGTCAAACCAATTAACATATAGATCTCCTCACATATTTACCATTTTTTCCTGTCGTGAGAACAGTTGAAATCTACTTTTAGCAAATTTCCAGTATATAATACAGTATTATTAAGTATAGTCACCATGCTACACATTAGATCTTTAGAACTTATTTATCCTACACAACTGTACCTTTGTATTGACTGACATCTTTCATTTCTCCCTACCACCTTGCTCCTGGTAACCACTGTTCTACTCTCTGCTGTGAATTTGGCCTTTTTAGATTTCACGTGTGAAAGAGATCAGAGTATTATTCTTAATAGTCAGAAGGTGGAAACAACACAAATGTCTCTTAACTGATGAATGGATAAACAGAATGTTTTATATCTGTACAATGGAATATTATTCAGACATTAAAAAGAATGAAGTATTGATAAATGCTATAATATTGATGAACCTTGAAAACAGTATGCTAAGTGGAAGCAGCCAGATGCAAAAGGTCACACACTATGATTCCATTTATATGAAATGCTTAGAATAGGCAAATCCATAGGGACAGAAAGTAGATTAATGGTTGCCAGAGTGTGGGGAGGAGGAGGAATGAGGAATGACAATTAATGGGGCATGAGTTTCTTTGGGGGTAATAAAAACGTTCTGGAGTTAGAGGTGATGTTTTCATGCTTGTGAATATGCTAATTTCCACTTAATTGTATACTTTTAAAAGGATGAATTTTATGTTAGATGAATTTCTCATTCAAAAAACTTTTTAAATTGATTAATATGAAAGTAGACTAGTTATGTGCTGTGGTCTGAATGTTTGTGTCTCCCCAAAATTCACATGCTGGGATTCTAGTGCTCATGGTAATGGTCTTAGGGGCGTTTGGGAGGTGATTAGATTATGAGAGTGAAGTCCTCATTAAAAAGATTAATATCCTAATAAGAGGCTAGAAAGTTTCTTTCCACTTTATACCATGTGAGACACAATGAGAAGTCAGCAGTCTGCAACCCGGAAGAGGTTCTCACCAGAACCTGACCCTGTTGGCACCCTGATCTTTGACTTCCAGCTACCAGAACTGTGAGAAATAAATTTCTGTTGTTTATAAGCTACTCATTTTGTGGTATTTTGTTACAGCTGCCCAAATGGACTAAGACATTATGTTATTGCTATTCATACAGCCATTATTTTATGTGGGGTTACTTACTGTGTAAAAATCTTTTCTTTTAGGTACTTACACTTAAGGTCTATAGTGAGGCTTTTATTGACAAGAACATCATTGTGAAATTATCTAATTTATTTTTGTTTATTTGTTAAACTTATGTTTCCTGTGATCTCTCCAGAGTTTTTTTGGTTTATTGTCTCACAATTTTAATCTACCTTTTTTTATTTAAAAATTTTTGTTTTTGTCTAGTGGCTTAGATAGCCCCAAAATTTATATTAATAAGCAGGTGGTGGTGTTAATTATTTTTATAATTTTTTTCCTCACCAAACTAATTTCCTATTTCTTTCTCCAGATTTATCAAATGGATTGTGCTATGAAAAAAAATTTATTCTGGAAAGATACTGTCCTAACAGAACGTAGTCACAGGTATTAAAAAATGAATCAGACAAATAACCACAGATTATGTGATTCCTAATCTGATATTTTATCATTGAGAAACCTAAAATTAGTGGAACTAATTTTTGCAGATTAGGTGAATTGAAGAAAATGGAATGATGTTAGGATGTTTCACCTCTTTGTCGAGGAATTTTATTTTTATTAAATAAAGCAGCTATAAAATTTATAATAAATGAAATAAAAGGATCAGCTAAAATAATTTCGAAAAACCAGATTTCCAGATGCCCAGTTTCTAATGTCTTTTTTTTGCTCTCCCAAAGTCTTATTCTGTTCATTTTATTTTTAGTAGAGTGCTTTTAGTATTGTGTCTCCAAAATTTTTATCTTAAGATGTAGGAAGTATATATTTAAAGCATAATGTTTTAGCATTTTATTATCTTGCATCTGTGGGCTGCCAGTAGACAATACTCAGCACTGTTAAATTTTGTTTAATATATTTGGTTTCAGAATGTGATGCTTTGCTTTACATTATAGCTAGTTCTCATTTACTACATTAATGAAGTTATTATGCAGGCTCTGTACATTCTTGGATCTTTCAGAGTTATATTCTGATAATGTGTCTGAGAAGAACCATTATTCTTCTATTCTACAGTTGACTGTAAGCCACGCATTTCTCTTTAATGTTCCTGCCTCACCTTCTATCATAATTTTGTGCCTCTAGCCTGCCTTCTTACTTCTTGTTGTCTTATTATTGGTTGTCGCTAACACAGTGTCCATTTTTCTCTTATCCTTCACCTTAGTGGATTTTCCCTTTGTCTTTATTGAACATAATTTGATTTGATAATCTCATACATTATCCTCTTTTCTTTGATAGCTAGTTCTTTAACAGAAGTCAAAACCAGTCTTTTCCTTTAGATTTGACACTAATAGTCTCCTTGGCCTTCAAAAAAATTACATTATTTTCCAAATTCATGCCTTTGCCCAAGTTTCCCTCCTTCCCCGTGCCAGAAATGTTTTACCTTTGTTTCTCTCCTACTTCCTATTCTTTCTATCTGATCTATTTTTCTTCTTAAAATAGCTTTATTGAGATGAAACTCACATAACCATACATTCACCTGTTTTAGCTACACAGTATTAAGCTTGTAGTGTATTCAGAGTTCTGTATCAGTCACCACAATCAATTTTAGAAATAATTCATTATTCCAAAAAGAAGTCCCACATTCTTTAGCCATCACTGCCTAAGTCTCCTATCCCCCTGCCCTAGGCAGACATTTGCTTTTTGTCTTTATGAATTTGCCTGTTCTGGACATTAAAATACAGTCTTTGTGACCAAATTATTTCACTTATAGCAGACTATTTTCGAAGTTCATCCATTTTGTAATATGTATCAGTACTTCACTTTTTATTGTTGAGTAACATTCCATTGTATGTATATTTCACATTTTGCTCATCCATTAATCACTTCTACTTTTGACAGTTATAAATAATGCTGCTATGAACATTTCTGTACAAGTTTTGGAGTGGAATATACTCATATTTCTCTTGGATATATATCTGTGTGTAGAACTGTGGGATCATATGGTAACTCTATATTTAACCTTTTGAGGAATTGCCAGACTGTTTTCCAAAGCAGTTGTACTGTTATATATTCTCACCTGCAGTGTATGAGGGTTCCAATTTTCTCACATCCTCACCATACTTCTTTTATCTGTCTTTTTGATTTTAGCCATCTGGATGTGAAGTTGTGTCTCATTGTAGTTTTGATTTGCATTTCCCTCATGGCTAATGATGTTGAGCATCTTTTCCTGTGTTTATTGGTTATTTATATGTCTTCTGTGGAAAATGTCTGTTTAA